AGAGGATCGCCGGAGCCCGGCAGGTCGAGGCTGCGGTGGCCGGGAGCGGCCACTGCACTCCAGTCTGGGCGACAGAGTGAGACTCCAACTCAAAATTAAAAAATAAAAAAATAAAAATAAGCTCTTCTGCTCCACCATTCCTTCAGTCCCCAACACTCCCACCCAACAAATGGGGACATTGTGTTGCTACAGTCCTCATTTCAAGCTGGCAAGGAAGAGAGGAAGAACACTTCTGAGGAATGTTTAGCGTGTCCCAGGCACTGTGTTTGCTGTCTCCATTCACATCATTTCATTGATCCTTCATCATCCCTGGGAACACATTATCCCCATTTGTGAACAGGTAAGAATTCTGAGGTTCAGAGAGATGGAGTGAATTGCCTAAGGTCACACAGCTAGTAAATGGCAAAGTCAGAATTCTACCCGAGCTTGAACTGGAAACACATTCTTTCACCTCTGTGGCCTATCAAAAGGTTTGCAAAATGACCCAGGGAAGTGACTGGCTGTCTGAAATTATTTCATGAGTAGACAAAGAGGTGGAGAGACGTTCAAAGTGACTCAAATTAATCACGTGTGAAGATGACATTGTCGGACACCATCTCACAGGCTATGCCTGTGCACCCTTAGGCCAGGACTTCCCAGCAAATAACCCAGTGACCCCTGCACCAACCCCTGGGCTCTTAGCAAGTCTCTGGTACCATTAAAAGCAAGATGATTATTTTTGAAACACAAAATAAATAATACAAAGGAACAATGAAACTATGATTGCAACACAGTGCCACTTCCTGCAGCTCAGAGTGTCTACTCCAGACCAAGGGGGAAAGAGCCCTGGGGGAATACACAGGATAATTCAGTTTCTAACAACACTCACCACAGAGCCTAGTAACATTTTCCAGTAAGTGGTCATTAACCGACTGCTAAATTACAACAGAATGTCAATTGAGTTACTCCTCTTCCACTCAAGGCGAAATCAGTTCCTCCCATCTTGTCCTGTTATTATAAGGAAGATTCCTAGGCCTGTCAGAAAGCAACCCAGCGACAAAAACAGAATTTGCTTGTTCCCTGTAAAACCTTGCACTAGGGCTGGGAGTGAGACTTTTGCAAAGTAATGAACAAATCCTGAATTGAATTGCATAATGGCAAGAAATACTACAAGCTGATAATAAATCCTACATCAAATATCACAATAGCAAAAAGATTCAAAATGTCCCAACCTAAACAAACAGTTTCGTATTAAATCCAAAAAGTCTGGCAAAAAGCACATCCACCCCGCTGACTCTGCAGGCAAAACAACCAATTGTGACTCTTAAAAAAAGTGAAACATACAAAGAAAATTCAGATCCCAAGAGCTGAACGAAACTATAGTGCAGGGCACACCAGCTCTATCTCATATAAGAATTATGTGGGAATCTTTCATCTTTTAAGGCAGCTTCAAGGTCTCTTTGTGATAAGGACACAAAAAAAAGGTAGACACAAGAACTTCAGGGCCCTCCTCAGCCTCTTCTCTAAACTGTGCTGGGAGTAAGATCCAGGGTCTCTGAGGTGGTCACAGCCTTCTTGGGAGCTGGGAGTGCCCCACTCCTGGTGCAGGCTAAAGGCCGACAAGGAGAATCCCTTCACGGCATCCCTGCCTCAGCCAGCATGAGGCACCATTTCGAGGCCAGTGTTTGCCTCCTCACATTGGGAATGCCTCATCAGAGGTCTGAGGCACACACAGAAGCTTGATGTTTCTGAAACCCTGAAATCCAACCTGTCTTCTCAGGATGCTCTAGGGCAAGGAATCAAACCACATGGGGTCCCTGACTGGTTCCGATGATCCACAAGACCCCATTAGAGAGGGGGTCAGGCTCCAGCCCCCTAGACACTTCTGTGATTCTGTATTTAACCCCCTCAAATGGAATGGGATCCAGTCCTAATCCACATACTTTGGAGGGCAGCCATGGGGCATGGCAACGCTAATCTGGGAAGGCCCAACTATTACTACTAGATTAGACAGTTTCACATTTCAGTCTTTCAGACCACCTCCTCCCATGTATTTCCATCCAGGTGACCCTGTGGATAAAGGTTAAATGATACTCTCTTCTCATCACAAAGTCATTCAATGCAAAGATAAGTTTATTCCTTTCAGCATCCCCGACATCAGCCTGGCACCTTACTGATGGTGTGTCACAGGCCCATGTACAGGCATGCGGCTCCGTGCAAAGATCTGAGAAACAGGCACAGTCCTGAACTCCCCAGCCTGCTCCCGTGTGGACTTTTGTCCCCCCTTCCAGCCCTGCCCTTTTCTCTTCTGACCTGTCAGGCTCCCTGACCTCCATCACAGCCCTGCCTGAAGAGGAGTCATGTTCCAGGTACCTGGAATCTAGACCTGGTGCTGCCACTAAGCCCAGAGGCCAAAGGATGGTGGTAGGGGTGATGAGAGTGAGACAAGGACTCACAGAATAAACTATTCTGGGCTTTCCTAACCTAAGATGGGCTAATTCTACCTTAAGCAAATCTATCTCCTCTTGAGCCTCAGGAGAAGCTGGACAGAGCATTCCGATGCAGTTCTTCAATCCCTGTCCAGCCCCAGCATGACCCTTCATGGCCTGTCCTTGAGACCTGAGAAGAGTCACTCAGCCACAGGTGGGGCAGCCCACCCCAGGAGGCCCAGGCCTGTGAGGCTGTGGGAACATGAAGTCGCTATGCCTGTGTTCAAGTCCTGCCCTCCTTAGGCAAAGCACTCTTCTTCCAGAAGTCAAATCCTCTGAAGAACTGATGGAAGTAGGCTTCACAGAAACATTTCAATGCTATTTCTGATCAACCACCTCTTGAGATGCAGAACCACTATATGAGCCATGGCAGCCTGAAACCCAGGTTTTTTGCCTAACCAATCTGCTCCTCTTTATCAAAAAAAAAAAAAAAAAAACGGCCAGCACACTGTGTTGGCCTAGTGGCTATTCACTAATCCTGATTACGTGAGAAAGGATCTAAGACAGTACTTTGTAAAGTGAACATGATACAGAGGATAAACTGACACGTCAGGGTGCTGCTGTGACCCTCAAGCCCTGGCTTTAGGTGCTTTCCCAAGAGACACTGATCAGACACACCAGACACTGAGCCACAAGCATACTTCCATGGTTTTCACTCTCTTGAGTGCTACTTCTGTGAGACACCACTATTATTTTAAACTGATTCCTTCTTAAATAAAAAAAAGGGGAGCCATTGAGGTTTCTCCCCAATCCATCTTCCAAATGTCCATCTACAGGCCTCTCTTCCCTACAAGGTTCATACAGAGGGTTATTCTAGCATATTCAAAACAACTTGATTAAAAATCAAACTTTATTTTGCTTGCCTAGACCAGAGGCAGCCAGGCAGCCTGTACCACAAAGCTATGGGAAGGGAGGTAGGTGCAGAAAGAGACAGGGGGTTGCCCTGTACATAGCATCCCTAGGACGGCTGGGTCACATACCCTCCCTCCATTGAAAAGTGCAGGAAGTGCAGGGCAGAGGGACTCAGGAGGGGGTGGGGGTGACCTCCAGTCTCCCGTTCCCAGGAAGAACTTTTCCTGCCCAAACACAAAGGCCGGGGCCCCAGCCAGCCATTGGCTGCTTCTGGGCACGTCCACTCAGTCTGCAAATGCCGCCAAGGATGTGGCCCTGCAAAGGTCTATGGTATGCTAGCTCTCTCTCTGCTATGGAACAAAATACTTATCCACCTCCAAGAAGCAGCAGTCTCTGCATGATAGCAGCTCGCAGACACTGTAACAAACCTAACTCTAAAATTTGGGGAAGCTGAATCGGAGACACAAAAGATGGGGTGGAACAAAAGACCTAGAAATCACTTGCAGGAGCTGGAACTGAGTTGGAGAACTCTTCCTACCACGAATGGGTTTGAATTACTTGGGCTTCATTACACACTTTTATTCATTACGTCCTATGGCTCCCCTATTCTAAAAATGGTAGTATTTTCCTTGGTTTAGCTGCTGGTTTTATTAAACCCTGTCTAAACAGAAGGCAATTCAGAGAGGAAAAAAATACTGGTTTCCAAATGTTCACAATCTGCAATTCAATGCATGGAGCCTATACTAATGAATTTTAATTCATTCAAGACCACTGATAGGGTGGGGTTACTTCCTGTACCTTTTCCAAAGCACTGGGATAAAAACCATCCCATGAAATAAGCAAGATGTACATACAGTGTAGCATATATTTTTCCTGATAATGTCTCTTCCTAT